ATGTCCCAGATTTAATGGAGTGATATATTGAGGCCTCATTAAAAAGCCTTTATTACCTTCACAAGCCATGGTATGCTACATTATCTAGTACTAAACGCTGAAAATACTACAGATCTCGGACTCCATCTGACCTGATACAAGAACTAAGATTATTCCAGGGACTTCATAGGACAGGGTCTAACCTCTGTGCCTAACATTTGTAGGCTTGTATTTTTCCTAAGAAAATTCCACCAGCACAAGCTGAAAACGATGACGTGTACCAACTGCCAACCACCTGCCTTCTTGTTCACTTACGCATTTGACAAATTCAAGGATTCGTAACGGTTTCCCATCAGTAATTTAGAGGTTCTTGCATCACGCCTTTTCTAGGCAGCCTGGTTATAAACCAGTAACACTGGGGGATACTACAGCTATCATCTCAATAACCTCATTATGGACAATCATACTTCTAGATCCTAAAAGCTACCGTTCAGATGTGCACCGGGGTGGGAGAGGCTGATGTCCTCAAGGTGAAGAACTCTTGGTCACCTCCAGCCATGATCTACTCATGAATGAATCCCTGCAGACATTCACGGTAGGATGTGACCAGGCGTCAAGATGATCACCTGTATTCTTTTGCTCAGGGCACTACAGAAAAAAATCTCACAGTAAATAAACCTACCACAGCTTTAGGGACTCATTTTGAAAGCTTCCAGAGCTGAAAGAAGCGGCAGACACTGCAGAAGAACTGACATTTTCAGAAACACATATATATACACACACAAAAGAAATCCTATTTCTAGTTTTGGAGTGAGTATATTCACCTTATCTCCAGTGGCTGTCAGGTTAATGCAGCTTCAGGTGGTAATCTTTCTGTGGCAGTGCAATTTCACCAGGGTGCATAAATAAAGATTTTTATATTTATCTCACTGTTTTAATCCTGCTTCCCCACAAAATTTAGACAAATGGAAGAAAAAGGCAATGCGGATAGAGCGTGCATGGGTGTCTGTAAGCACACCAGCCTGCTGGGGGGACAGGCTGTTAGCAGACCGCTTTTAAAACACTGCAACTTACTGAACTCATAAAGAGGTGCTGAGAGCAAGCCAGATGATCAATAACATGAGGTAAACGTAATATTAAGTACAAATATCAATTTATGCTAAAGTTAATGACAGGCTGAGGACAGCTGTTTCATAGGCTTGTATGAGAAACATTATATAAAGGCTCTCTTTCACAACTTCATTTGTAACGTAGAAATAGAGTACTCTTCAGGAACTTACAGGGAAAAGATACTCCTTTCCTTTAAAATAGCATTACTATCTCAGAGAAATGTTAGAAAATCCATATACTGCAATATTACTTGGCTCAAATATGGCTTTTCATCCCTAGAACTCAGAAGTGTTCTACAAAGAAAGTCAATATCATCAACTGCATTTTCCAAACTGGAGCAGAGAAAGAAAAAAAATGGCATGTGTGAAGGTTACCCAGCAGGCCAGCAGCGCAGTGGGAATAGGAGGCTGAGACAGTGAGGAAAACGGTGTATCTAATACGACCAAATTCTAAAAATACAGAACATGGGGGGGATACAAAATACAGCAGTCCTTGAGGACTACTCAGGCAGCTGTCTTATTATCTAAGTCCTGTAAAGTCTGTCCACCTAGTGTTGCATTTCATTCAGCCTGGTTCTCAAAATCTACAGCACAGAATTTCCTAACTACTATGAAGTTTCAAGAACAACTAGAAGTACCCAAACAAAGCAGGTCTCCAACACTTGCCTTTCTGCGAAACCACAAACAAGAAACAAGCAGTTTTTAAAAGTAGGTGAAAGCACAAGTAATAAACGTAAAAAAGACGATGAAAGTAGTATCAAACAAAGGAGTAAAGCTACTCAGGTGCCCAGAATAAACTGGCAATGACAGAAGTATTAAAAACAGAGCTTCTGCCCTACCTTATATTTACAGTGTAGGAAGACATTCAACCTCCATATATTTAGAAAGACCTTTAGTTTATTTCTTGTTAAGAAAAAGCTCTGGAAACAAAGCACTTATATAAATTAATAATAAGCACTTTGAAATATATTGCGGATAAATGGGGGGAGGGAGAGTAGGGACGACTTGTGTATGTTCATCTAACTGTGAATGCATAAATTGCCTTTTCCCAAAGTACAAAAACATGTACAAAGGCAAAGTTCAAGAGACAAATGAATAAGCATCACCAGTCTGTCAACTGTGTCAGAATTTCCCAAGCTCTCCATAGTGCTGCTAGCCTCAGCATTTGCTCACCTGGCAGAACGTGAAATTCATTTAAAGTGACAAAGCCTTGCACCTGGTTGGGTCTCCAGCTGTCTGCCACGGCAAGCAATGGAGAGTAGAAAACAACACAGCTATGTCCAACTTCCCCAAGCCCCTGCAGCCTCCATTCCCCAGAGGCTGAAATAGCAAGCAACAACAAAACCTGAAGTCTGCAACTTAACTACTAACCAAAAATTAAATGTATTATGCCACTACGAGAAACTCATGTACCATGTAAGGAGCATGCTCTGGGAAAAGGCTAAACCAGAGGCTGCTAAAAATGCAAAATAAAGGAAAAGAACAAGGACAAAAATTGCAGGCTTAAAATGATCAGAAAAAGACAGAATATGGTAGATGCACTGGTTAAACAGAGAATAGAAAGTGACAGTGTTAAACACTGTCCTGTAAATATTTACATCTTGTAAATATTACCTTCTGACTGGACATAGGGCAGAGGTTAAAAGTGGAAGTTTGATTCACTCAGCACGGTAAACGTGAGCAAGTGAGGTTTTTCTACCCATCTACAATGTATTCAGAGGACCATGAGGTCAAAAGAAAGCTCTAAGCACAAATCCAAGCCATTATAAATGCAGGTTCAGTAGCTTTACATGCAGCCCTGAGCTTCATCATACCAAATCACTGTGCAGCAAATCTTAGATGGGAAATTTGTTTATCATCCTCTAAAACTCTTTTTTGATAGCCACCTGGACTGTTCAGTTTTTATATTGGTGGCATAGAGCTGTGCAAGAGACACGTTCTAAAAAGTGAATCGATAGTTAGCACAGTGAGAGGAATATTATGCATACGTGTAGGCTGCAGTATGGAGCTGAACACTGAACAATGTCCATGAGCACAACAGCCTTGATGAGAACAGGGAAAGTACCAAGCCAGAAGAGGTGAACCTTGCCTTCATTGCAAATCAACAGCGGAAAAAAACAGTAACAAATGAGGTATGCCAGCTAACTTCTGTTACAGGTGGAGACACTGAATTACAGACTCACATTCCTGAGACACACCTTGAGGTTACAGACAGCACGGTGTCAAACAGTGATTTACACAAGACTCCTGGCTCTAGGGTGTTAAGAGGCACCATGCGCTGAGGCTGGGACCATGCACTGCTGGCTGAGTAACACTGATTAGAACAGACACTGCTCTCAAACAGGCGGCACCAGTGTGAACTGCTGGCCAAGGTGGACAGAAGGAAGAAATACCCGCATATGAGAAAAAACATACTTAGGAAGTGACAATTGCAAAAAGTCAAAATTAACAGTGGATAAGCAAGGAGTCAAGCAGAGCGACGAGCACAGAAAATACCAGCAGACAAAAATGCTGGTGAAGCCTATGTTTTGGGTTGGTCTTTTTTATTTGAAAATAAAGTTTGGAACAAAATATTATTATTGTATTATATAGGGTTTGATGATGATTTTAAAAGAGTAAAACATAGTACTTATCTTTGTTCCCCTGTTTAAAATTAAAATAAATACCTGGCTCATAGGGAGTTTATTACCTACACATTTTCTGAACGTTGTATAAAGAACAGCTAATCCAAAATCTATTTCACATGGTGAAATAGATTACTATTATTAATGGTGCTTTACACTTCAAATAATCCACTGGGATGAACACCCCTCAGCCCCATACATCAGATGAATCTGACTGTCCTGCACTACAGCTCAATCTAGCCCATCTCTCATGCTGCTGCTGTGCTGCTGGCAGTCCAGGAGCAGAGAACATATGGCTTTTCCAGGCTGAAGCCCTGTCACTGCCACATGATCCAACGAGAGGGAAGAATTGTCACTGGTGCCACATCACAGAAAGTAATCTTAGCCATGCTGCTGGACCGCCCACCCCTCAAGAGTACCGCTGCTGTCCTGGAATATTCAGACCTTCCCGCTACCCAAGGTCTGTCGCAGAAGGCTATTTCCTCTTCAGCTTCGTATGCTAATGAGGTAATTTAGAAAATCTCAAAATAGCAAGCAAGATACAACTTCCAGACACTCCTATACTGAAACAAGGCAGGTCAAGCTTCTGTGAGGTAAGATAACTTCACAAAACCACCTAATCAGATTGCCCTATTTGACTGCTAATAAAATAACATCTGACCTTCCAAACTCAGGAAATGCTAGAGGGAGTTGGGAAAGTGGAACTGCAGGTACTTTACTCACTCATTTGAAAAGAAAACAAATATATCAAGGTAATACAGTTGTCTGTGGCCCACTGCCCACTTGTAGTGCCTTCTGTAAGCATGAGTACAGCACCTCTGCGGTTGCTTTTCTGCAATTCTGTTCCCTCTGATGGTAGGTTAGCTTTCAGGCTGAGGTTTTATTTCTGTAGACTTAGCCAGCATTTTGCTAAAATCTTATTCTTCCACAATGCTGCATGCTTCAAAGAGCACGTTTTTACAAGAAGTTCCCTTCATGCTCAAAAGTCTTGCTGAAAAAGAGGTTAATGCAGACTGAAAATCATTGTGACATTATGGACCTTTTAATTGGTTACTAGATCTGCTTTGGGGCACATATTAATAGGGCAGAAGCGTTATGCATGCTCCTTCTCTCTCTCCTTGACATACTGCCAGAGGAAGGAAAGTATTTTGGTCTTGCTGAAAGTAATATGCAATCCATTTAAAAATCTGAAACTCAGGGAATACAAATCAATGCGTAACTAGAATATAAGACTAGACTGTTCAGAACCAAAAATAATGCATATAGAAAACGCAACAAGGTCTTTTACCATAGCGCTGAGAGTCTCCTCCCAATCTGGCCTCTCTCTGGGATGGATGCTCTTCTGAAGCTCTGGCACAAAGTCATCTTCTTCTGTATGCACAGAGGACTTCATCATTCTGGAAAGGAGGACAGAGAGGTTTGATACTCAGTGACAATGTCTGGGTAATCGTACATACAGTCTGTTACGGTGCTCAGTTATGTGGCTCCTATGACAATATAAATGCTTTTATAAATCCAGAAATCTTACAGACTTCTACGTTTCTCTCACTTCTTCATTATACAAGCAGGACAAGAGCATAAATCTGGTGGAGAGAAATCTGCACCTCCTAACCAATCAATGGATAATTTTGTATAATCACTGTACAAAGTCTTAAAACACAAAAAAAATATGGAGGAGTAAGTTTCAGTCCATTTCAAAAAATTGCTTATATTGCCCAGGCAAACAACATTAGCCTTATAAGAATAAATACAGGCATTTGATTCCTTAGTTGTCACTGCATGCTTTGCCTAAGACAGAGATAGCAGTTTCCGTATCTTAGCCTGAATTCACGTCCCAAGGCCTGAGCCATCAGCTCTCATAGTTCTTACTGATCCTATCTGAAGGGTGAGCACCTTCAACCGCCCCAACTCTGCAGGGATGCACTCAAATCAGTCTCATTTTATCAAGGTAAACTTTTCTTCAGATAAGGAGCCGTCTTTCAAATACCCAATGAAGTATATTTCAAGCCTGCACAGAGATCAGAAGCTCAAAATCAAAATCTAAAAAGTATTCATAAAAGTTTCTCAGCCTATCTTACGACAGTTCTGCTGTTACAGCCAAGGAGAGCCAATACGTATCGCACTTGCAGGCCATATAAATGTGCCTTTGTGGGGATTATGGCACAGACCTGAAGTACCAAAGGCCTGTTGAAGGTCTGGTATTATCCATTCTGGTATCGTTAAAGATGAGATTCAGGCAGGCTTTTATTTATTAATAGATCACCATTTATTTACTTAGGGTAACCATTTTGATAATCAACACTGCATACAGCAGGGCTGGTTTCGCTAAATGTTAACTGTGCTGATATATGTACCGTTTGACTAAAACAAGCATGGTGAAAGGCATTTAAGAAAACTCCTTTGCTTCAGATCAAGATCTGAAGTCCTGAAACCCCTACATGCTGTGTGCCACAACGATGTGAAGTGGCTGGGCCAGAGCATTTAACTCTCCTTTGTACTCTACACGAGGGTTAAGAATGAAGTAATTAACACTCACAGTAATAGCACGGCTGAGTTACAAAATTATATCCCATATAATTTTATACCTGGCTTTGTGATCACATTTTTGCTCTAATAAAAAACACATCCCAGAGAATATGTGCCTCAAAACCAAAAGTCATAATGCCTCAGGGTAACGCTGCTAAATGGTTCCATGTGCCGTTCCCACTGTAAACATCACCAATTGTAAGAAGGCCGTCCCTAAAGAGGCAAGAAAAAATACACCTACATGGTGAAAGTGGTATATATCTGAAAAAAATTCGCATGAAAATACCATGATTTAGAACGTAGAGGTGCAATGCCAGCTCAGATGGGAGACTCGCACCTTTGCGACATATGTGTTCAAAAGAATTTGATTTTTGTAAACCTGAAAATTTGTTGCTGAAAGCGGCGGCTCTTTCATTTCTCCTTTGCATCTCAAGAGTGAGAAGATCTGGCCTGCTTCTCACGACCCCAGCTCCACCACATGAGAAGTTTGCCATTTATTTTAACTGAAAGTGGAAACCTGGTGGCTGCAGAGAAAACCAGACCGCGCAACTCAAAAACAAGAGATAAACTGAAAAAAAAAATCCGTATTTGTTTAACTTAACGTCGTGATTTTGAAAAAGGCACAATAAGGCTTTTCCTCGGGATTTCTAGATGTTTAGGTCTGGCAATACTGCAGTTGTACAAAAAGATTCTGAACAAATCATCCCACAGCAGCTTTAGCCTAATGCCATCACGCAGCATTGGACAGCATTTAGTCTAATGCCATCAGATGATGGAACGAAAGGAAGGGTTACATGATCAAGACCCACCTTTCTACACCACGGTTAAAACAAACAGCTTATCAAAATGCACGCTTTCTCAGTTTAAAGACTTGCAAACAATGAGATTGAATTTACATCTTTATCAGCACTTTGGATTACAAATTGATTTACTACACAACTCCTCAGGCTTATGGCAATTCCTCCTGGATTTCTCATCAGAAATCTGGTTTCCTTTTGAGAAGCAAATTTTCTGAATGTCTAAAATGTTGCCAGCAGCACAGGGCTGCCCAAGGACACAACTCCTCCTGCCACGAGGTAAGTAACAAGATTTGACTACGCTCTCTTCAAAACTACTGACCTTCATTCACACAAAGTCCCTGACAGGCCATTTAGGTTCAATGTAAGGCAGGCATTACTTCTAGAAAATTTACCACACAGAACCTACAGAACAGGAGCGGGCAGAGATTGGTAATTAAGGTTATAAAATAAATGTACACAAAGACGCTACATGTATTACACAAACTCTGTGCTTAGCCTGGTTACAGTGAACATTGTTTCAGTTACTCCCAGGAAGACCCTTCAAATACCAGTGGTGCCTGTGGTGGTAAGGCTGAGTGCAGAGAAGAATATGTTCTATTTTAAAATAACCTTGGGAATCAGGCCCATGTTCTGGGTCTCTACCCTCACAGTGGACAAACACGGATGTCACTGTACCCAGTCCTTTTTACTAGACTCCAATCTATTTACTTACACTATTTGTTTAATCTTATGATGCCTCTTCCCAAACCCTTCCCACTGAGATCCTGAAACACAGTCCTATTATTCTTCGTATTGAAGGTGTTCTGGACTTTCACTGGAAATAAGGAAAGCTCTGCATGTACAATTGCATGTTTAAAACAGTCAATTCTTTGAGCATTTGCCAGACTTGTTTAATGGAATATTCTACTACTGATGGAAAGTAAATACTCCGTCACAGTACCACAAAAATACCAGAAATGATACCGAAGATTTTCTCTCTAACACAGTTATAAACACTTGATAACCATCTGTGAACCCTTATTAATCTTTAATAGTAACTATTTAATTTCATGCCATCTGAGACGAGACCAAGGAAGGCTGAAGATGCTACAGGTAACATTAGTCCCTTACATAGTAAGTCTAGTGGCTTTTTCCTCCCTGCCCCTGATCTGGATGGAGGAAAAGAACCTTGTGAATTAGCAGCACTGAAACATGGGCAGGAGTAGGGCCAGAAAGGGGGAAGAAGAGGAAGACAAGCAGCTACTCGAGACACTCCTGTTGTTACGCTATTTCAACAGACTTCACAGGAACTCTGCGTTCTCAAGGATGACACAGAGAATGAAACCGAAGCTCAGGGTCCCTGGGAAAGCTGTCACGAAAAGACTCACAGGGCTGGCATCCACCTACAACACTTCTAAGCATTACTTCTTCATACAGCCTCAACTCATCTTCCAGACTTTCTGCAGGAACTCAGCGATTCATTTTCAAAGATGCAGCCCTGTATTTTGTTGGGAGCCCCGTTATAAGTCCCCAAGTGAGAAACCAAACTGGGAAAGAGCCACGCTGGTTGCAGTCACTGAAAGGATCATCAAAAATGTCCTCTGGGCATGTAAAACCTTAGAGCCACACAGCTGGGGGAAGGAGCCTTCCTAACAGTCAGACGTTGTGATTTTTCCTTGGCCTCGCCCCAAGACAAGCTTGGACTATTATATATATATGTATAATCACATACACGCATTTTTATATGCATGCTTATTATATATATTTGACATTATTTTAATTTATAGAGCAAATAAAAGCACAACATACATATATCTGATTCAGCACACATGTCAAGCTGTAACAAGACTAATTATCTTGTTTCTGCCATGGATTCTTTTTCACGGGAGGGGAAAACACCTAGGGTCCCACTAGCACTTATACAAAACACTGACACATATATTTTGTCAATATTAAAGACCAAACAAATTAAAGAAGCTGCTCTGTTCTATCAGGCCTACATTTAGCCATTTCATGGGAGTTATAAATGACTGAAAATTCACTGCAAAATTTAACACTAGCCATAAGAACAGAAATATAATTTTATTTAAAATGCCACTTCTTCAACTGTTTAGCAGCTCTGAATGCCCTTCAAATGAAATCTGACACCATTATATTAATAAAAGTTCTGGCTGTATAGAGGCCATTAAGCAATCCCTCTTCAGACGAATGAATCCTTCTTCATTGTAAATTGAGAATCAAATGTACTGGAAGAAATGTTTACGGGACATTTCACAAAAGGCACAGCCCGCATTCACACCCATTCTTTAAAGTTCTCCGGTAGGTCAAGTTGAGGAATTTCAAGTCAGAGCTTGCACGTCTGTACATGATACAACTGTATCGAGAAAACACCTAATGTCCTTTTCCATGTTCTCAGATCTAGTTTGCTGGTCCCATCATTTATGGTGGGACCATATCCACTTATCAGGAATTAAAACATTTCGGTGCTGTTCTCCCCACTGGGCCCCCCTACGGTCCTGCGTTATTGAGCATGAAGCCCTACCTGCACACACTAAGGAGCGTATTGCAATGCCTCACAAGGCAGAAGGTACCTAGAGCAGGTAAGCACAGGTGCTTTATAGGATGAGTAAATTAACATTCAGCTTGATGCCCATAAACTCTACTGCTACTTTGTGTTTATAATATTGTAAATATCAAATATTACTTCCACTAGACCATAACTTTCCCTGCGGGTTTGAAGGAGTCCCGCATCCACAAATACGAAGTATTTCCACACTTCTGTTTGCGCAAGAGAGAAAGAATCATGAAAAGTGGGTTTGTGGAAATAGATCCTTAAATTAAACAGGGGAGGGGAAAGGACAGAAACTTTTAAAATATTGTGGGATTCCTACAAGAATGTTTGTTCCCCTTATTTACGTTCTTTGGCATGTACCATGTCCCACTGGTAGACCCCAGCGGTAGGAGTAACACAATTGTCATGGACTTCGATGTCATCTAGATGCTAATGACACACAGATTAATAGCTCTCCTCTGGGAGGACATGAGGGTGTTGACAAATTACTTCCAGAGGTGCCTGATGGTTTGAAAGCCAT